AAAGTAGAATGCAAACGCCTTTTTATGGCGAATATTTTTATATTTTTATTATATTTTGATATTTTTAATCATTCATATTTTTTTTTCGGGCAACCCGGCGAATGGTTAATATTCTAACAGTTGTATAGTCTCCCCAGAATATTAAAAGTGCGACATCAAAGAATTCGAATTACCATATTCGAAACAATCGAGCCATATCCGCGAAGGAAACGTAAGCTCCAAATTTTTTTATTTGCCGTTTTTTTTTTGTTTAATAAATACTGCATATTTTCCACAAACAAATAGCTTCTTCATATCCATCATCTGTCAAACAAATACAACAAAAAAAAAAGCTGAAAGTGGACCATCCATTCTCGAGTTATGCGCCATCTGACGTACGCAAGTTTGGTATATACATAGAAACATTTATTTTCAATAACAATCGGGGGTTATATTCGATGTAAATAAGCTTGTTTAAATTAAATAATTAAATCAAATTCGTTTTTGTTTTAAAATACCACCATTCACTATTATCCACACCTTTTTATGGAATTTAGCTCCCATTTTAGGAAGTGTGATTGAATTCTTCCCCTTTTTCCCCTGCTTCCATAAACACTCCCTGTGGGTGGGAGTGCCAAATTTTAGAAAAAAGCTACTTACAAAACCTTTAATAATTGAATCATGGTTTTCTGTATACTGTGATTTTAAATAAATGTCATGAAAATGATTTATGAAGATGTTTTCGCTTTGGCGGCTGTTGAGCAATTGAGAAATAATCGAACGGTTCGTGAGCGGATAAGGCAAGGCGTGCATTGCCAATTATTCATTGGAAAACGTGGTTTAATTGTCTGTGGTTTACAAAAAGAATTAATAAAGATTATATTAAAAAACTGTAATTTTTGTGAAAGTATTAGTGTATCTCAGTTCTGAGGCGTTGCTTACTTTTACTTGAGAATTGTCAAAATCTGCAAAGACAAAGTAGCGGTACCACTGACTGTGCCACCTTTGCTCTCTACATCGTGACCTCAGGTCCTGAGTGTAAAATATGTAACTTTGTGCAAATACTTTTCACTACACATGTATATATGTTAAATTTTCTAACGCATACTAAAGACAACAAATTCTTTTACAGGCTGCACTTTAGTACCTGTGGAAGAAAATTTGATTGATAAAATATGGGGAGAAAAACAACCTAAACGGCCTTCTAACCCGGTTCTGCATTTAGAGCATAAATATTCTGGTTTAACAGTTGCGAATAAATGGGAAGATATTAAGAAGCAAATGCAGGATAAAATGGCAGATGTTCTGTTAGTGACATCTTTAGATGAAATTGCATGTAAGTATGTTATTCCAAACACAAACTAAACTAAGGCTTTATTTATTTATATAGTTCCTACAGCTTAATTAATTACAGCTTAAACTTATATACATATACATATTTATGTATATCGGTCTACTTCGGCCATTCGCAGCGTAAAGACATTCTCGCTATCGTGATCAGGTTTTGCAATTCGTTGATCTTGCTTACATACGTACAAATTTGCTAACTGCACTATAGTAGTGCACTAACAATTTGTATAATATTATTATTTATCTTTTTTGTCTTGTAATTATAAATCAATCTTTCTGACTAAATCACCGATATTGGGAAAACTAAAATGAACGGAGCAGAGCCCCCTTCAGAAACCGTTTTTGTGATCTCGACCCGGATACAAACCCCATCCTGGCAAACGATTTAGGAAAAATGAACATGACTTTTTACCTCTACCAGAATTAAAGCAAACGGCAACAGGACCATATATTCGCGGAATATACACACGTGTCTGAACTACGAAACGGAGACCTCCTTATTAAAACTGGGCATCTAACGGAGCTGTAACCCGTTGCCTCGCACACGCTCGTGTTGAGGGCCAAAGTCATTTCTGGCAACAGATCATCCCAGCTCTTCTGGTCTCTGCCTGCAAACTGCGCCAGTAGTCGCTTGACGTTACGGTTCGCTCTTTCCGTGGAATTTTGCTGCGGTGTGTACGGAGCAGTGAATTGGTGCCTTACTCCCATCTCCTCCAGGAATTGCTTAAATTTCGCGCTGGTAAATTGCGTTCCATTATCCGAGATCAGGATTTTTGGAATGCCGAATTTTCCGATAATCCGCTCTCTCACTGCTCGAATTACTCCCTCCGCTGTTGCCTTCCGCATTGGTACAATCCCGACCCATCTTGAGAAACAATCTAGTATTACCAGCGCCATAGTGTTTCCATGCTTGGATCGCGGAAGAGGTCCTACGAAATCAACACACACTGTCGCCCAGGGTTCTTCGGCTAGCTGCGTCAGCATCTTTCCGGCTGCTTGCTGCTGGCTTGGTTTGTAAAGCTGGCACGTTTCACACTGTCGCACGTACTGCCTCACGTCACGGAACATGCCCGGCCAATAGTACCGCGCTGTCGCCCGCGCTATCGTTTTTCGGATGCCCATATGGCCTGCACTGGGAACATCGTGAATTTCCCGTAACACCCTCTGTCTTTGCTCTGCCGGCACGCATAGTTTCCATGGCAACACGTCTTCATCGTCAATTTGTCCTGATATTCGCCTGTACAGCTCACCATTTTCGATGACAAAGTCAGGAAACTTCTGTGGAGACCTCCATCTCCGCCATCTTGTCTTTCAGCCACTTGCACTCTACCGCTACTCCTCCCGCCGTCATCGAACCAAGCAATGTTTCCTGGGGCTGTCTTGACAGCGCGTCTCCTACCACATTCAGCTTACCATTGCGATACTGCACATCGAAGGAGTACTGCTGCAGTTCCAGCGCCCACCTTGCAATCCGACCGGATGGACTCTCTATCTTACTCCGCCATTTTAGCGCTAAGTGGTCGGTGATGACGGTAAACGTATATCCTTCTAGGTAGGGTCTCATATTTCTCATCGCCCACACTATGGCCAGGCACTCTTTCTCCGTTGGTGAATAATTAAGTTCGGCCTTGTTGAACCGGCGACTCGCATATGCGATTACGCGTTCTTTTCCTTCAATCTCTTGGGTGAGAACAGCTCCCAGCCCGTAGTCGCTCGCGTCTGTTTGCAGAGTGAACTTCTGCGTAAAGTCGGGGCAAGCCAACACTGGTGCCTCGGTTAACGCGTTCTTCAGCGCCTCGAACGCTGTCTGTTGCTCGTCGTTCCATTTCCACTTGTGGGTCTTCTTTAGCATGGACGTCAGCGCATGCGCCACTTTGGAAAAGTCGGGGACAAATCTTCGGTACCATGAAGCTATCCCTAGGAACCTCCGTAACTCCCTTATATTTGTCGGTGGTGTCAGCTCTTTGATAGCCGCGACCTTCTCAGGATCGGTGTGAATGCCCTTCTCGCTGACGACGTGACCCAGATACTTCAACTGCTTCTTGAAAAACTCGCATTTTTCTGGGTTGATCCTAAGATTCGCCTGCCTAAGCCGTCGGAAGACCTCCGAAAGATGTTGGACGTGCTCTTGCAGGGTTGCGCTGATGACAATAATGTCATCCAGGTAGGCAAACGCATACGGCTCTAGCTCTGGACCGATAACTTGGTCTAACGCACGCTGGAACGTCGCGGGGGCGGAGTGGAGCCCAAACGGCATTACTCGCCATTGAAAAAGGCCACGCCGTGGCACTGTAAAAGCAGTGTACTGCTTGCTCTGCTCTTCCATCGGGATTTGCCAGTAACCGTTTTTCAGGTCAAGACTGCTAATATAACGCGCGCTTCGTAGTCGGTCAAGGATATGTTGGATCTTCGGTAGGGGGTACGTGTCGGGCACTGAACGCTCGTTCAGCTGTCGGTAGTCGACGCAGAGTCTCCCCTTGCCGGTCTTCTTCTTCGGCAACACTATCGGGGCGATGTGCGGGCTGTGTGAGGGTTCAATACACCCTTTCTCGATAAAGTCGTCGATTTCCGCGTTGATGATTTCCTGCATCTTCGGGTTCTTCGGGCAATACCTCTGCTTGATCGGCCGGTCATCCTTATGACGATCCGGTGAGTGGCAATATTTGAAACTCCAGACATCTTCTCAAATTTGCGTTACTCTGACTTTAAGAACTCTCTCGCTTCGTCGGTTGTCGCGGCTTCTGTAGGCATGGGGTTTGATTTGGGCTCATCGCAGTTACCTGACCTCTCTGCACCTCCCTCGCGTATTGCCGTGAACGTTTCTACTCCTTGGGCGCAGCTCTCTTCTCGGAGTGTCACGTCTAAGTCTCCGCAACATAATCGGACTCCCGCCTTTGCCAGGTAATCGGTTCCAAGCACCACGCCATCCATCAAACCAGGCAGTACCAAAAGATCGCTTTCATGCACCTGATTCGCTAACTTCACTCGTGCCGTTATAGCCTTCAGCACCGTTTTGGATCTCCCATCACCCATTACCACACGCGTGTTCACTTGCCTAGCCTCTCCCACATCCAGTCTCTTAACCATGGCTTCGCTCAAGAAACTTCTTGTTGCGCCTGTATCAACTGCAGCTACTACGTCGACCTCATTTACTCTGATCGCCGCCATAATTCGGCCATCCGACTGCCTTAGTACACTATTTAGTTTGGACGAGGCTGTTCTACCTGACGCCCCACTCCTCGCCGCAAATGGGACCTCGACCCGTTTCCCGATGCACTACGGCAGCACTCTCGAGTCGGGACATTGCATCGACCACAGGTCCAACAAAACTCTCTCCGTGCAGCTCAACACTCCCTCGCAAAATGGCCATCTCACCCGCAAAGTCTACACGCAGTCCACCGATTAACGTACTCCGACTGTAGTGTTGCTACACCGCGGTGTGGTTCAGGTCGGCGCTGTGTTCTCCCTGCTCTGGCCGTCTCGTCACTCCTAGGCAGCTCGCGCATGTGCTGATATCTCTCCGTAACCCGTCGAGTTGTTCGCGCTACGGCTCTCTGTGTCTCTCTCACCGGGGGGGATATTTTCCATGTCTTCCGCCAAACTCACTAGCTCTTCTAGGGTGGTGAACTCGGATCGTTTGACGTACCATTGGAACTCGCTTCTGGAGTTTCTGTAGATACGCGTCAGCTTCTGCTCTGAGGTGTAGTTCGCGTGTCGCATCAGACTCTGAAGGGCCAACACATAGTCTTTAAACTTCTCATTCTGTTGTTGGACGCGACGACGGATCTCATCGTCTAAGGTTTCGTGGTAGCGAGAGTTTAAGAAGAACCTTAGAAAGTCTCTCTTGAAGTCCTCCCATTGTCGCCAATTCCGGTTATTACTGCGGAACCATGTCAACGCCTTCTTCTTAAGTAGTTCTGGCATCGCTCGCGGTAACAAGTCACGATTCACCTCGTATACTTCCGCCAATTCTTCTACACGTTCGATGAAGCTGAGCGGGTCTCGGCCGCCGTCGTATTTGAAACCCCACTTACGGACTCGGTCCATGATGGTTGCCAGCGATGTCGTAGGATACGTTGCGTATGGCTGTGGTGTCTCAAACGCGGCAACGGGCATTGGTGATTGCATGACACTGGCTCCCTGGTTTCCACTTGGTGTTGCTGCAGTAACATTCAGCGCAGGCTTCGAGTGTTTCGCTTCTAGCTCTTCAAACCACGTTTGGTAGTCTTCGTTGTTATTTTCTTCTTGTATAAATGAAGCGAAACGTCTTCGCAGCTCTTCGACTGTTCCTGTCTGTTCGAGGCCGAACTCCGCCATATAGGTCAGCAGCTCCTCTCGGTTGAGGTAATGTATCCACCTGAAAAGAAAAAAATATTTGTTGCATTAATTTTTTTTATTAATTATTAATATATTAATTTATTTATTTTTGATTATTTCATAGCTGTAAGTATATATCAAATAGAACACCTCTTTGAGGTAAATATTTCGAGCGACGAAAGCTGAACTAGAAACACAAAATTTATGATATCTATTTCGTGACGAGAGTTATACGAATTTTTTAACTGCCCTGGAAACTGACGCAAAATAGTTTTATTCATTCTGAACGTTGCAAAGTTCAGTCTACTCTTAGAAACACAAAATAGAAAAATCGGAACTTTAGCAACGTTCCGAATAAATAAATCTACATATTTTGCGTCAGTTTCCAGGGCAGTTAAAAAAATGCGTATAATTTTCGTCACGAAATTTATATAATAAATTTTGTGTTTCTATGTAGTTCAGCTTTCATCACTCGAAATATTTACCTCAAAGAGGTTGTCTATTTGATATATACTTACAGCTATGAAATAATCAAAAATAAATAAATTAATATATTAATAATTAATAAAAAAAATTAATGCAACAAATATTTTTTTCTTTTCAAAGCTAAATTATAAAATTTAAAAATTATAAAAAAATCTATATTCATTATTTAAAATTAAGTTCATT